CTGACAATATTTAAAGATTCTAAGAGTGGGTTTGAAGATTTTAAAAAATTTGTAGGATTGTATAGATTTTGTTTAAAAACTTTTTAAAATTATTATTAGGAGAGAACTGTATTCGTGCTAGAAAGTGCATTCATATCTTAAATAATTAAATAAAAATGTCATTATAAATAATGAAATAAATATTTGTATCTCCTTCGACAAAAATAACACCCTATTAATCACTTGTTTCAAAATCGTCAAGTTATTTTGAAATAATTCGTTCGTAATAATTGGAAAATCCACCTAGCAAACAGAAAATGAACTTCGAGACTAATATTTTGCTTATGAAACTTGAACTAAACACATAGCAAACACAAAATGCATCACTTAAAAATTAATACATAAAAGAATGTGGAAAAAAATTCACTTTTAATTTGTTCCATTAAACCATATATTCGTAAAGTTAGTTAGTGATTTAAAGATTCTATAAAATGATGCGAGAAGGTGGCAGTGGAATAACCACGTCTTCCTTAGAAATAGGGATTTAACCGCTCACTACCATTATTAGGGTGAGTGCTTTTTGTTTTTGAAAAACTCTAAATTTTTAAGTCCATAGACCTTTACAAATACATCAACCTTAAGATTGATAGGACAATCTCATACACACCAAAAATATTCCAGTAAAATAGCTTCTCACCCTTATGAGATTGCTTTAACCCCCCACACAAAACACCTCTAAAACAAGACCTTTCACCCTCGTGAGATTGCTCTAACACTTATAAACACTAAAGTCTTTGACAACTCCTACCAGCATAGGATTTCTATGCATATGTACTTTTTTTAGCAAGTGCAACGGCGTTTGTTAAACATGTGACTCCATACACAATAGGGGTGAATTGCCGGTTTCAGAAAATTATGGTCATAAAAACTTTTGTAATAATTTTTAGAGTTTAAAAACACTTTGAAAACGTTTCAGAAATTAGCAGCGGAAAGTAAAAGTGCGAAAAGTAAAAGGTTAAGGGAAAGAGAAAAGACACCATGAATTTATAGTGATTTAGTAAAGAAGACTTAGTTGTATCCCCATGATTTGATTTTGAGAGTATCTAGTAATGCTTAAGGGTTGTTAGTAAGTTAAACTTTTGAACCCTCATATATAAGAAAAAAATAAAGTTTCCGGCTAACTTCCAACTAAAAACATACAACAGAGAGAAGCAGTTAGTCTTCCTTCCAAACACAAACTTGCAAAAAGATGGGGTTAGTCTTCCTTCCAAATAGTAGATTGAAGCGGTTAGTCTTTTTTCCAAACAACAAATTAAAGCAGTAAATCCTCAAGCTAAACGAAGATTTTCTACTAACTTATATCAAACCAAGGTGAGATTTTGAACCGGGTTGAATTGGCGAACTAAATTGAGGTTTTGACCACGCTAACCACAAACCACTAAGATTTGAAATCGGGCTTATCTCGAACCAAAGCAAGGTTTTGACAAGGCTATGCTTACGATCCAAACCAGGATTTCTACAAGGATAACCACAAGCTAAGTTGATATTTTGAACGGGGCTGATCTCGAACCAAAGAAAGCTTTTAGCTAGATTTGGCTTACGAACCGAACTGACAACTTAAAATCTAAATCCCAAAACCAAAGCTTTTAAAGGGTTTAGTTTTGAAACCAAACAAACACTCCCTTACGGATAAATTATTCAACCAAGAGAAAATTATCCTTGGTGAATTTACAACAATTCCTTTTCCAAAATACAAAAAATTTTCACTAAACAAAAGGACTTCCTCAAAGCGCTACGACTAAAATTATGTGAGAGAACGTTGAAAATATTTTAGAGAGAGAGTGAGAGTGAGAATTTAGATAAAATTCTCACTTTTTTTAATGTAAAATCATGAAGGAAAGAACCTCTATTTATATGTTATAGGTTGGCACAAAAAAGGAAACTTTCATGGTTTAAACTTAATGTTCCAATCGATTGACACCTTGCTATAATAGATTGGAATCCCTAAAAGAATATGAGAATTTAAAAGGAAAGAAAAGACACAAAGACATTTTTGTTCATTAAGAAACTACACAAACATTTAAGGACAAAATTTTCACTAACCCAATCGATTGGGTATGAGTGTCAATCGATTGGGCAATATAATTTTTGCTCAAAACCATTGTGATAGTTCCTAATTTAACTGACACGGCTCCAAAACATTTTTAGGGATATTTTCTTAGAAAATAGCGACATAAAAACTTGTTTGTGTGTGTGTATGTGTGTGTGCGTGCGTGTGTGTGTGTGTGTGTGTGTGTGTGTGTGTGTGTGTGTGTGTGTGTGTGTGTGTGTGTTTGTTTGTGTGATTTATCCGTATAACTTTAAGAAAAACCCTTGTGTTTTTACAAAACTTTATTCACTCAGACGTGACAGGGCGAACTTTCACACTTTCTCTCTTTCACACTTTGAATCTTCAAGACTTGTTAAGTAAACACATTATATATACAATTGCTTGAATATTATTAGAGATGACACTTGAGTTTTATTCAAGCAAAGTACCATCATCAGAAGATGTTTGTAGTGATCTTCAAAACCTGAACTTGTTTGTTTGCATCTTTAACTGCTTGTGATATTTGAATCCTCGTAGGTTGAAAGGCTGTTATGAAAGTTGTCATACATGTTTCATTATCAAACACTTCTTTTAGTTGACATTATCAAAAGCTTCGTTGATTACCTATAAAATGTGGTTCCACATTCTCTCTATTTTTTATGATGACAATGCATCTCCCAATGAGGTGGTAAAAGAGATAAATAAATATATTTGGAGTGGTTAAACTCCCCTCTAATTAAGTAGAAAGTATACTCTACTCCTCTAAGAGTGCACTTCTTGCCCTTTGTCCAAATCAAAAGGTGGGTAAAAGGATGCATTGCAAGAATTGAAATATGCAAACATATTGGAACATAAGCATTTTGAAAGGTAAAAACATTACACTTTATTAATTCAAAGCATATTGGAATTGAAATACAAGAAGCTGGAAATTGCATAATTTAAGAGTAGTGTGACCAATAGGAAAACAAACACACTTAGAAACTAAGACACAAAAGTGAGACTATTATTTGTCAAGATCGCTGTCTAAGAATAAATCTCGAGGTAGTTGTGCTGAATCTTTGATAAAGATCATCAAGATGGAAAAGTTTATGGCGGATGGCTGGTACCAATTTGCTAAGCGTAAGAGGCTCGGTAGGGGTGATAAGCTTCAGCTCACGATAACAATTCCTCCTCAAAGGCTTTATGTGTCAGTTGTTAGAAGACATGAACGCACTTAGATTGGGAATGGGATGTTAACACTTGATGTCGTCCTACGTCTGTTTGGTTGGAAGCTGAAACACCTTTTACAAGTATGATATTGAAATTGTGTTATTTGTATCATGTTATGTCGCAATCTATAATATTGTCTAAGCTTTAAGTATGTTTGGTTTCAAAGAGACATGTTATTTATCTAGACAATGTGGATGTTGTAATATATATTATATGACTTTAGTATGCTCTAATAGATTTTGCTTTGTATGTATGTACAATAATATATATATATATATATATATATATATATATATATATATATATATATATATATATATATATATATATATATATATATATATATATATATATATATATATATAAAGTATGCGTTGATGCTGTTATTAGCATATATTTTTAATATTTGATTTGCATTAAGTATTATTGTCAATTTCAATAACTACTTGAAGTTTACTTTTATTTTCTTCGTGAATGTGTATTATAGTTGTGGCATGTTGAGGAGTCAGGAGGTGGGGTATGATGAAGGTCAACGTGTGAATGTTGGTGTATATGTAGTGAATTTGGATTTTGGTATTTTCTGGACCAATGATTGTAATGTGAAATAAAATTCTGCCCCTTTAGAATTTTATATCACTGTTTCAGTAATATATACTTTATTTGTATTGATTTTAATTTTTTTTCTTATTAGAAAATTTCTCGGAGGATTATTAGGCAATGCTTCCAATTCGGATAAAGGAGTATTCAATTGTTTGATGTTGATAATTGTTAAAGTTATGACTGTGAACTACACCGGTCAACTAGGAAATATTGCGTTGAAATGTTTATTGGCAAGGTATCAATTTGCCAAAAACAAACGTCTAACAAGAGGTGATAGACTTGCTTTCATAGTCCGGGACCCTCGTGCCGACACAATGGTTGTTGAATTTTGATTTCTTTGATGGTTTCCTATCTTTGACTACCTATCTTTTTGTTTCTCCTTGATATTGTCAAATATGTTAAGGATCTTTTTGACTTAAAACCCAATTGTCATGTTTCATTCGAATTTATCTTATTCCAACTGTATTAAATTTTTGTTTTCTGTATTATTTTTTAAAATGTGTGGCGGTGGATTTACCCCTTATTATGATTGTTTACCTTTCTATTATTCTGCATTTCATTGGTTAGTTTTTGTTTCTATTGTCAATTCTTATATCATTATTACATTTTGTTTTAATATGACATTAAATTTTTAACCTAACTTATAATACACTATGTTTTCATAATTAACACAATTATATTTTGTTATTTTTAATTATTTTTTTTAAACAATAATGCGCGTTTCATTCATAAATGAGAAAAAGAAAAAAAAAATTATAGTACGTATCAAACCGTGTAAGTAACCAAGTGTATAAAAGCTAGGGAGTTTCCGTTAATGCATGTCTGATTATTTTACTACACTGTCGAAATCTTTACCCAACAATAATTGACTATTGGAATGGAATCTTTACCCAACCAAAATTGACCATTTTCTCATTTTGTATAATCAATAAGTCAGTTCATTTTACCTGTTAATTGGTTTATTTAATTGAATTTCCTGGTTTTTTTTGACAACTTTACTAGAATAAAATAGATTATACCAAAAAAAGCGATCAATCATCAAGAACAGATCATACAAAATTTTCCTGCAAATTTCTTCATCTTCTCCGTCTTCCCTCTTTCATTCCGTCGCTGCATTTCAGACATGAATTCCAATTACGGAAAATCAAATCCCCAAAAATCATCACCTTCCGTTTCTCTCAACAACTTCAATTTCGATCTTGATCTCGGCATCGGATCCAATCGATCCAAATCCCTAAAAGATCAGAAAAACCCCAATCCTTCCCATTCCAATTCCTATTCAACTCCTTCATATTCATCGGCGCAACCCAAAAAAACCGCATGGACCCACCAACCCACTCAAACTCCGGCCGGGTTACCCGGTGCACCGCCGTCCATGGTTGGAGACATCTTCGGTAAGAGCTGGGGATCTACTCAACCTTCTGGTCCTAGCATTGGAATCGTTAATAAAAACCCTAATCTATTTGGGGATTTGGTAACTTCTGCTTTGGGTCAAGGTTCCTCTTCTTCGAATGTTCCTCTGAAAAACGCTACTCCAGTGTCTAATAAATCTTCTTTTTCAATGTCAAACATGGCGAGTTCTTTGCCGAAAAATTCTAATACGCCGCAAAGTGGTTCTACTTGGGGATCATCGTCTTCTGGGAGCTTTAATTTGAATGCTAATCAAAAACCCAATCTTGGCGTTGGTGTTGCTGCATCTGGTAGTAGAATTGGAATTGGAATTGGAACTGGAACTGGAACTGGAATCAGTTCTAGTAACAAAGATCCTTTTAGTTCATTGGGTAGTTTTGGATCTAAGACATCTTCTAGTCTTAATTCAGCTGCTAAACCTCAAAAGGTTGATTCAGAAGATGATGGGTTTGGTGATTTTCAGAATGCTTCAAAACCAAGCTCTAATGCGTTTCCATCAAGTGGTGGTAGTGTTGGAATTGATGTTGATTTTACTGGATCTTCGGCTTTTTCGAATAGGAGTCCTCCTGTTCAAGCTTCTTCAGGTGGTGGTGATCCGATGGATATGTTTTTCTCATCTTCAACTGCTTCTTCTGGAGGTGGTGGTGCTACTGCTTCTGCTGCGGCATCTTCGGAAATTGATGATTGGGGTACTGAGTTTGGAGGTGGAAACCATGATGTGGGTGGAACAACTACTGAACTTGACGGGCTTCCACCTCCTCCTGCTGGGATATCGGGTTCTACAGCTAAAAGCAAAGGGATGGATAATTACAAACAGGGACAATTTGCTGATGCTATTAAATGGCTTTCATGGGCTCTTATCCTTCTAGAGAAAGCTGGAGATGGTGCTGGCACGGTGGAGGTTTTGTCATGCAGAGCTTCTTGTTACAAAGAAGTTGGAGAGTATAAAAAAGCAGTGGCGGATTGTACACAGGTATATTTTCCTATCTTATTAAGGGCTGTTTATAGTAGTTCTTTCATAAATATGAATAATATATATCTCCCTACCACCGGCACATGTAATTACGCTAAATTAATTCATATTTTCCTAATTACTATTGTTATTGACATGTATCAGTGTTAGTGTCATGTAACTTGCTGTGCTTCGTAAGTTACATTACAGAATTTTACTTGACATAACTTATTTGGTAATGTTGAGTTGTTCAATCACTACATACCGGTTGTATTACTATGGTCGAATTGTTGGATTAATAAAAATCTGTCTTTGCATGTTTTTTTGGGGGGCGAAAATGCTGCTAGCTGAAATATGTTATGCTAAGGATTTGCATTTTGCTAGAAGTAAGAGCTGTAAATACAGAAGATAAAAAGCTAATCAAAATGAGATGCTATCATTTTAGGTTCTGCTGGAAAACAAGGCTTGGTAGAAAATATTAGGATCAACTAGCTAGAAAATAATGCCTTAAAGGAGGTCATTTCTAATTAGTGCTGTGCTTTAATTTTAGGAACCAGTGCTTCTATTAATGGAATGATAACACGCTTCCTGAAGGTTAACTCTTGAAATCTTAGAGCTAGTTTCTAACAAATATATGTCATATCTCTTTGTCAAAAATAGTTTAACAGCTAGAGTATTTATATCAGACTATTAGATACATATGCTTTCCAATTTAGCAAAACAGCTGTTCTTAAAAAATATATATAGAATACAACATATGTATAATGTGTATAAAAGTTTCATATAACATTTTAATTGTCTAAGCGTATTGGTTTTGGATGTGTATGGCTGTACATATCCTAGCGTGAAGGGAATGCAAAAATCAGTGCTTCATAGTTTCATGTATCCGTAAATGCTGTTGGATTTATATTTTCCCATTAGATCATTGCCCTGTCTTGCATTTTTCTTCATTATCCAGGGTAACATGTGTAATCAATTTTGTAATTGAAGTTTGAAAAATTACAATAGATGGCTGGCCCATGAGTTCTGTAGGCACCCTAATATGTTCCCTTCCATATTTACTTTTCCTTCCTCATGAATGCAACCACACTGTTTTCTTATCAGTAATTCACCATATAATTTTGAGGAAGAATGTAAACCATCTGCATTATGTTGTGCAGGTTATTGGAAACAATGGAAAAAATGTAGCTGTCCTCGTGCAGCGTGCTCTCTTGTATGAAAGTATGGAAAAGTACAAACTTGGTGCTGAAGACCTGAGAACCGTGTTGAAGATTGATCCTACTAATAGGGTTGCTAGAAGTACTGTTCACCGGCTGGCTAAGATGGCTGAATAGAAGGGAAAAAATCTCTCATTTTTTCTTTTCCTTATAATGATATATACAGGGTGATATAATATGTATGCATTGCTTCTGATTGCTGTCACCCTTCATGTGATTTTTGATGTATGGCTATTTCATATTCTGCCTTGTCTTGAAATTAATATTCTTGCTTCCTTCATTCAGATTTTAACTCAATACTGATTGCCATATTCTTTTTCTGACTATGTTCTGTGATTCATTTAGATTGTTTACATATTGAGATATACATATTTGTTGTTCTTGAAGAATAGCTTGTACCTTTGCTATTGACTGTCCATTATGGATCAAGTTTTATAATTGTCTGATCAAGTGAGTTCATAGATGCTACCTTGCATCATCCTTACCATATTACTTTCCATTTCTTTCTCCACAACTCACCATTTGGGTTGGCTTAGAATGATTTTTTTAGAAAAGGGTTGAAGCTGGGCAACTTTGGAGGCAAATGTAAGAGTAAATGTTGCTTAAATTGTGAAAGTTCTCAACATTCCATCCAGGCTTCAATTTTTTAATCAAATTTTGTTTCTGATTTGTTCTTTGCGAGTATTGCTCTTTCTAGTCTCACCCTAGTAGATATACTTATGCACGCGATTAGTTATATTACTTAGAATTTTGTATATATTATGTTTTTAGTATAGCGTGCTTGTTCTCGAGCTGGCATTGAGTTTAGACATGCAGTTTAACTAGGTAATATCATGGTGCAACTCTGCAAGTGAAGTTGAGTATGCAGGCTATCCCGCCACGATGAACATTCTCTACATAAATCCGCATATTAAACAAATTCAGTCGGTTCGCTCACAAATAATAACGAGTTAGCACAAAACTGTTGATCGTCAAAACGGATTGATCACGAGTGTCGCGCCAATGACAATGTATGCAGGCTAGCTCGCCACGATGACCATTCTCTACATAAATCAGCATATTAAACGGATTGGGTTGGTTCATCCACAATTAATGAGTTGGCACAAAATTGTGGATCGTCAAAACAGATTGATCACCGAGTGTCACACATGCATTGTTGAGTCCATACAAGCAAATTTTGCATCAGAGAGTCTTTTGCCTAGTATTAGTTGGAACCGAATGAAAGCCTTAAAGATGTGGCAAGACGTGAAGACATGAGTTGCATGCATTCGAAATGGCGTGTTAATTTATTAGAATGGCGTGTTAATTTATGTAGAGTTAAAATTGTCGAAGACCGTTATTCCTAGTTAGTATTTATAGCAGACTCATGTGTTGTAATAAGCGTCGTAAATTTTTACATACATTCTTTATATAGCTGGAGTACCCGAGCTAAAGAGCGATACAGTTTATGAGGAATTATGCGAATCTGCGTCCCTCTTTTCTTTGTACGTTTATGTTTTTTTTAATTGAAACATTTTTTTTTGTGATTTACTGCATTTCATTTAATGTTGTTTATTTCAAGTTCTTTTTACTTCGAGTCAAACTTTATCGTCTTTAAAGTCTATTTACGCATGGTCTGTAATCAAACATTTTTAGTTACGTCTTACACGTACGTCACAGTAACATTTTCACACCAAATTGATCTCGAGATTTTTCGAGTTAATCTCAAAGACTTTCAAACTCATGATTGTTCGCTAAAAACACTTGCGAACACCGTGTGAAGAAGATGTTCATCGTCTTTGAAAACATAAGTTTTGATGAAGACAAAAGATTATCATGGAAGAGAGATCAAAGAATAACATTAGAATCAAGTATCAAGATTGCTAAGTCAAGGATTTCAAGAAATTGATCATCTTTTAAGGTATCAATAACAATTGATTTATGAATATACACTAGGTGTTCGAGGTTCTCTTCCTATAAACATTTTTTAAGTGTCTTAAACTATTTGTGCATTTTTACATTCAAGGCACTTTTCAAAAAATGAAAAAAAAAAAAAAAAAGATTTTTGTGTAGCTACAATCAATTGTTATGGAACTATTTTCTAAGACATCAATCGCTTGTATCATTACCATATTAAAGTGTAGTAAATTAACTGACTTTTGAAAATGCGCTCAAAATGCTTGTGCGAATCGATTGGGCTCTTCACCACAATTGATTGTATGAATCTCTTTTTTTCTAAAAAATATTTCCCATAATTGACTGGACCTAGACTACAATCGATTGCACCTTTTAAAATTTCTAAAATTTTAAACGTTACACTTAATACACTCAGTTGTATGGATCATCTCAATTGATTGGACTCTTATTATTTTTTTAAAACCTCATACAAATATGATATCCCTTCATTACATTCTTTCATGTAAATGATTCATTCTTTCATGAAATTGTTTCATAACATTGCAACTTTTTCTAAAGGTATCATGATGCTATAAAATCTCATTTTATAAGGTTTTTTCAAAATTATCTCTTTCCTGAAAATTACTATGTTCAATGCAGAACCAAAGTGTAATTGGTTGCAGTTTTTTGCTAACCAGTTACATGCAGAAGAAAACATCATGGTAACTTTGAAAAAGGTTGTGCAGTGCAGTGATCAAAGGTATTTTGACTCCGAATGTTCAACGCATATGACTGGAAGAAAAGATTGATTTGTTACGATCAATTGTGCCATGAAGAACAAAGTAATGTTTGTGGAAGATACCACCACTCTAGTGGTGGAAGGGATCATTGATGTATTGATCCAGAGAAGGGATGATGAACATTCTTTGATAAGTGGTGTATAGTATATCCCCAGAATCAAGTGTAATCTTCTAAATATTGACCAATTTTTTAAGAAGGATTATAAAATTAATATGGAGAACAAGACGTTTACACGTTATAAATGCAAACAAAGTTTTGGTCTTAAAAGCTCTTATGGATACCAATAGAACTTTCAAAGTTGAATTGAAGGTTATCATAAGTTTCTTACTACATCGACTAGTAGAGAAGAATGGTTATGGAATTATAGGGTTAGACATATCAACTTTATAGATCTATATAAATTGAAAAAGTACATAATGGTGATGGGGCTGCCATTGATCAACATACCGGCTGAAATTTATGAAAAATGCGTGCAGGCGAAGCAACATAAAGAAAAATTCAGCAAGGATATAGGTTTTAGAACCAAATTTCATCTTGAGGTGGTGTATTTAGATGTGTGTGGGCTGATGGAAGCTGATTATATTAGGTACAATAAATATTATGTCACATTCATTGATGATTATAGTAGAAAACTATGTACGTACCTAATCAAGAGAGAGGATGAGGTACTTGAAGTGTTTAAGAAGTTCAAGTCCATGGTTGAAAGGCAAAGTGGTCATAAACTTAAAATTCTCAAAGCGGATAGTGGAGGCGAATATGTCTCCAAATGATTTTGGGAGATTTTGTGATCAAGAGGGTATAATACATGAGGTAGGACAATCTTATATCCTGTAGAAAAAAGGTGTTTCCGAAAGGAAGAATCGATTGATCATGAACATGGTGAAAAGCATGTTGAAAGGGAGGAACTTGTCGAAATAGTAATGGGTAGAAGCGGTGTCCACAATTGCATATTTGTTGAACAAGTGTCTAACAAAGAAGCTTGAAAAGATTACACGGAAGAAAGCATGGTTTGGGTTTAAACTGAATCTGAGTCACTTGAGAGTTTTTGGTTCAGTAGCATATCGACATGTGTCGAGACAGCTTAGAAAGAAGTTGGATGATAAGGGAGAATTGAAAATTCTTGTATGGTATCACTCTATCGGTGGTTGCAAACTGGTTGATACAGAAAACATATGGATGATGATCAATAGGGACGTTGTTTTTTATGAAATTAAGCAGTTGCAGCAGAGTGCAAACATTTGCCATAATATGTAACCCGTTTACACTAGTGAAAAGTGTGTGCCTGCGGTGCTAGAAGGTACAAAACCATTCATCGTTGAATCCCGAATGGAAGAAAATGTTAGAAGATCATCAAGGCAAATAAATTTTCCAAGTAGACTCCAAGAATGAGAACTGTTCCAGGATAATGCAATCAATGTTGATGGTGATTTCATCCATTTTCCACTTATGACCGATTCCAAACCTGTTAAATGGAGGAGGACTTGAATGATCCAAAATGGATTTGTGTTATGAAGAAAGAGAAGAAATCAATTAAAAAGAACAATACTTGGGAGCTAGTTGATCTACCACAAGGAAAGAAGTCAATTGGTGTATGATGGGTGTATAAAGTTAAGGAAATCCTAAGGGTGAAATAATCAAGCACATGGTTCTATTAGTTGCAAAGGTATTTTTTGCAAAGAGAATGCGTAGATTTTGAAGAGGAAGTTGAATTGGTGGCTAGAATTGAAACCATTTGTATGAAGAAGATGTTCATCGTCTTTGAAAGCATTAGTTTTGATGAAAACAAAATATTATCATGGAAGAGAGGTCAAGAATAACAAATTAGAATCAAGTATCAAGATTGCTAAGTCATGGATTTTAAGAAATTGATCATCTTTTAGGGTACTAGTAACAATTGATTTATGAACATACATTAGGTGCTGAAGTCTCTCTTCATCTAAACATTTTTTAAGTGTCTTAAGTAATTTGTGCATTTTTACATTCATGACACTTTTTGAAAAATAGAGAAAACTTGTTTTTTTTGTGTCGCTACAATCAATTGTATGGAATCTATAATCTATTGAATAGAAATTTTTATAAGGCAATAATCGATTGTATTATTACCATAATAGATTGTAGCAAACTCACTGACTTTTAAAAATACGCTCAAAATGCTTGTGCCAATCGATTGGGTTCCTCACCACAATCAATTGTGGGGATCTCTTTTTGCCTAGTCAATATTCCCCACAATACATTGGGCCTAGACTACAATCGATTGCACCTTTTTAAATTTTCATGTTTTTGGAACGTTACACTTAGTATAATCAATTGTATGGAACACCTCAATTGGTTGGACTCTCATTATTTTTGAAAAACCTCATATAAACATGATGCCCCTTCATCACAATCTTTCATGGAAATGAATCATTCTTTTATGGAATTGTTTCATAACATTTCAAAAA